CGAACTCACCATCAACGTCTTTGAGGCTGCACTCAAGGACGTTGAGAGCAACCTCCACTCCGTAGCTTCTGCTTCTAGCGCTGTACCCCCACCACTGTTCCAGGGGTGCACTGTCCCACGGCTGCCCACCTTTACAGCTTCTCTTACTTTTGCTGCGCCCGACGAGACTGCGGTCGCCGCCACTATTGGTGCTGACAGAAAGGGTGCTGGCAGTGGCGGAGGTGGAGGGGCAGCGGAGTTGGAGGGGCTAGTGGTAGTGGAGGGGGCAGCGGAGTCGTGACGAGCCTAGTGCGTCCATCGGTGGTCCTCCTGCTGTGTCGGTTGGAGGCGACGTTAGGGGTGGGGGCCGGGTACACGGCCTAGCGTCAGCAGCAGCAGCGCCCGCAGACGCAGCAGCAGCGTCTAAGTCAGCAGCAGCTGCAGCAGCTGTCTTCCCAGTGGGGACCTCGCGGGCCAAGCAGTGCTGGTCGTGGCAGTGGACCGCCCAGCTTCGCGTCACGTGGTGTCACCCCCCCGCCCTGTCAGTACGTTGTTCAGACAGGTACTCGTCAAGGCTTCCGCTGCGGCCACCTCCACCCTCCCGGTCAGTGCTTTGCTCAGCTCACTGACCGTGTGCGTGCGGAGTGCGGCCCAGGCCCTGCTCCTGACTGGCTGCCCCTCGTTCTGACACACGGTCCTGCGCTGTGAGACGTGTCTGTGTCCGAGTTACTTTAGGAACTGTGCGTGCTATGTATGCTGATGTTGATTATAGTGCTCCTGAATCCGTTTACTCGCCTGTTCGTAGTTTAGGATCTTTGCATGTTGCTAGCATAGGTTCTTGTTTAGGCCCTAGCCCAGGCGAGACTTCGGCAGACGCGTCTCTCTCTTACGTTGGACCCTAGCGCGTCACATTGTTTCTTCCGCGACCGCACCACTCTTCGCTTCCTGCACCGGTTTTAGTTGCACTGGCTGATCCTACCTCAGGACCATTCGTTGTTCGCAGCTCTACTACTCTTCCATGCCCGGCCGTCCCCTCGCGTGTTCTGACTGCTCTCCACATCCCCTCATTCTCCAGGAACTTGGTGGGTGTGCGATACCTTCAGAACCGTCACGTCGGTGTTTGGTTTCCTCCATCGGAGAGTTTTGGGACCTGCGTGGACGGCGACACATACACCCCTCTGGCCACTTTTCACCAGGAGCCTGGCTCAGGCCTTTTTTCACTGCACACCACCCCTCCCCACGTGCCTGCGTCCGGCCAGGTAGACGCGTCTGGCCAGGTTGCTGCGTCGTGCTCGTGTTGGTCGCTTGCCCACCCCACCGTCCTGTGGCACCACCGCCTTGGTCACCCGCCTCTCCCGCGCCTTCGCATCATGGCTAGCCATCGTCTTGTCTCAGGTCTCTCGCGCGTCTTTTTGTCGCTCCCTCCTTCGCCTGCGCCTCCGTGCACTCCTTATGTCGAGGGTCGGCTGTGCGCCGCCCCTCACTCCTCCTCCCTTCGTCCGGCCACTGCACCCTTTGAGACTCTCCACTTGGACGTCTAGGGCCCCGCCCCCTGTTAAAGTTTAGAAGAAAGAAGAGGGAAGAAGGTGGTTGCACTAGCAAGAATGGGGATACAAATAGGAAACCCTAGAAGGGTTGTACTCGCTATAGAGCACCCCACTACAGGCTAGAGCATAAGATAACATTCTGACACACCCCCATAGCCAAAGTGGGGTGTAATCAGCAGAGTAAGCAAAGGAGTACAAGCTCAGGGTGGATCACAATGTCACCACACATTCTGAGCACAAGTTCAAGAAGCAATAGTTTAAGTTCACAATTATGAGCAAAGCTAGTGGTAGTCACAACGGGCAAGTGAGGAGGAGGAGAGAGAGTGAGAGGAGAGGAGATAGGAGGCGACGGCTGAAGCTGCAGACACACAGGCAACAGGAGGCAGACTGGCACAGCGGCTACCGGACGAAGTCCCCGGAATACAGGAGTAACAGGCCCCGCGGCTAAAGTAGCGGCAGACGAGCAACGGACCCACGGGCGGCTGGCACAGCTGGCTACGACTGGGCTACCGGACGAAGTCCCCGGAATACAGGTGCTGCTGGCGACACGACGGCAACCTCCATTCAGCTTCCCCAAACTATCCCACTCCCCCCTGGCACACACCCGCTGCTACACCGCTAGCTCCACTCCCCCTTCACCCCCCCTTAGTACCACTCCACCGGCTCCAACACGTCCACCCCCCCTCAGCGGCAGCTGCAGCACAGGGAGACGGAGGAGGAGGAGGAGAAGGGTTAAACACAAACCCGCCACCCCCCAACTGCCACCCCCCAACCGCCACCCCCCAAACCCTAAAAACAGGGTAGGGAGGTAGGGGGGGGGGGGGGGGGGGGGGGGGGGGGGGGGGGAGGACGCGCGGCCCCCTGCATACTCCCCTCCCGTCGCCTGTCGAGGCGACGCTGGGGGGGGCCGCTTGCGGCCCCCCCCAGGGCGCCGCGACGGGCGACGGGAGTTGGGCCGGGGCAGGTCGGGGCCGGGGCAGGTCCGGGACGGGGCGGGGCAGCAGGGGCCGCGCACGGCTCCCCTGGGCAGCGCGACGGGACAGCAGGGCCGCGCGCGGCTCCCCTGGGCGGCGCGACGGGGCTGCAGGGGCCGCGCGCAGGCCACGACGGGCGACGGGGGGCGACGCGCGGGTCCCCGTCGCCCGTCGCAGCGCCTCCCGAGGGCGACGCGCCGAGCAACGGGGCAGAAGCCCGCCGCGCGCCTCGGGGCGCACAGCGGGCAGAGAACCGCCGCGCGCCTCGGGGCGCACGGCGGGCAGAAAACCGCCGCGCGCCTCGGGGCGCACGGCGGGCAGAAAACCGCCGCGCGCCTCGGGGCGCACGGCGGGAAGAAAAACTGCCGCACGCCACGGGGCGTGCGGCACAGAGAGTAGCAGTAGCAGTTGCAGCGGAAGCAACAAGGTGGTGAGCCCACCCACAAGATCGATCCAAGGGGATCGACCTGCTCTGATAGCATGTTAAAGTTTAGAAGAAAGAAGAGGGAAGAAGGTGGTTGCACTAGCAAGAATGGGGATACAAATAGGAAACCCTAGAAGGGTTGTACTCGCTATAGAGCACCCCACTACAGGCTAGAGCATAAGATAACATTCTGACACCCCCCGCCCCGGACCCGAGAGGGAGAGCTTCTTTCTGGTGGTTGTTGACGATTACTCCCGCTATACCACCGTGTTCCCCCTGGCAAAAAAGTCCGAGGTGACTTCTACGCTGATCCGGTGGTTGCTCGCCATTGAGGGCACTCGTGGCCGTCGTGTCAATTATCTCCACTCGGAACGTGGAGGTGAGTTTCGCTCCGTCATTCTCGCCGAATTCTGTCGCGAGCAGGGCATCCTCCTGTCTTGAACGTTTCCAGAGTCCCCACAGCAGAGTGGGGTTGCTAAGCGCCGCTTAGGCTTGGTGGAGATCACGCGCACCTCCATGATCCATGCCCGTGCACCCAATTTTCTGTGGCCCTACGCGGTTCGCTACGCCGCTCACCAGCTGAACCTCTGGCCTCGTGTTTCTCGGCCAGGGGCTTCACTGACCAGTCTTTGGGCCGAGTCCCCTAGTATTGCGTCTCAGTTTCGTGTCTAGGGCTGTCTTTCGCTTTTCCGCGACACCTCTGCGGACAAGCTCTCGCCATGCGTCCTCCCCTGTGTATTCCTTGGTTTTCCAAAGGGCTCCTCTGATTACACCTTTTACCACCTGCCCCTCCACCGTTTCCTCGACTCTCGTGACGTCAGGTTCGACGAGTCTCTCTCCTACTACGCCCGGTACCCGTGTCGAGGCCTCCCGGTACCCGTGTCGAGGCCCCCCTCCCCTTTTCCTTGCCCTCGCTCCTCCTCCTGCTCCCGCTCCTCCGGTACACCCTTCCCCCCCTGGTCCTGCCCCGTCTGGTGTGTCGCACGTCACCCCCCTCCCCTTGGTAGCGCGTCAGGTACGGTCCCCATCCCTAGAGTCGTCCTCACAGTCACCGCAGCAGCCGTCAGCGTTTCACCCGCATGTTCTCGCAGACTCTGGAGGTGTTGGTGTCAGAGGTGCGGACCCTAGAGGAGCTAGCTTTGGGGGTGTTGGAGCTGAAGGTGCTGCTACAGATGGTACGGGTTTTGGGGGTGCTGGCGTTGAGGGTGTTGTCCCTGGAGGTGCCACTTCTGGGGGTGCGGGTGTGGCTAATACTGGGGCTGTGGGTACTGGAGCTGGTCGTGTTAGAGCTGGAGGTGCGCCATCTGGGGTTACTGGAGCTGAGGAGGGCGGAGCCGGCGCAACTACTTCTACGGTACCTACTCCGCCTCCCCACCGCTTCCCGACCCGACACCGGGCGCTTCTTCGACTTGAGCGTGAGGAGCAGGAGAGGTTGGCGTAGGAGAGGCTGGGGCTGGAGTGGCAGCAGCAGGAGCTGCAGAGGCTGGAACTGGAGCAGCAGCAGGAGCAGGCAGGAGCAGCAGCAGCAGCAGTAGCAGTCGTCGCTGTAGCCCCCACTCATACAGGACTCGTTGCCCCCTGTGAGTGGCCTTCGGGCACTTGGACTCCCTTCTCCTCCTCCCGACCACTCCTCGTCTCCCCCTCGACTTGGTCAAATAATCAGTGGTTGGTTGATGGACTCAGCCAGAAGCATAAAAGAATGGAAGGGAGTGTTGGCAGCAATTGAGGGCTTCTTGTCTTGTGAGTGAGTGCCATGCCTCTACTTGACATAATCACACTCGACGCTGGACTCAAGATTTGGCTCTACATGTTAACCTGTTGCGCACTCTTTTGGACTGTGTACTGCTTCTTGCATAGTTTGTTTGGTGTAGTAGAGTGCTGCAAACCAGTTCTTTTGAGTCATTCACCTTCTGTTTCTTTGTGCTGCACTTAACACGAGACTGAACGTTTTTGACAATGCTAGGGTGATTCAGTGAATATGCTATATTGGCAATGCCAGGGCTGCTCGAGAACAGCAATTTGACTGGTGCACGTGCTATGGTAGCCGCTCACATGCCTTTTCAGCAATTATTGCCATTATTTGCGTGCAGCTTCCTAGGGAAAAGGGGGCACAACGAGAAGATGCGCCAAAGGGAAAGAGAGGGAAAGAGAGAGAGGGAAAGAGAGAGAAAGAGAGAGAGAGAGAGAGAGAGAGAGAGAGAGAGAGAGAGAGAGAGAGAGAGAGAGGAGAGGGAGAAGGAGAGAGTACCTACCACTACTGCCCAGACCGCTAAGTTGGAATGCACAAAGGCCTGCCTCGGTACAGGTTCTGGGTGCGGCACATCCATCCCCTGTTGAGTTCGGGCACAAGCCTGGGATTCCTTTTAAACTGCTTCACTACAAGAGTGGGGCAGCTGTCCCCGTCTTCCACAGTGTACTTGCGGCTCCGACGTGCATCGCACACGATAGCTCCCAGGGGAGTTGCGCCCACACAGACCTGGGGACGGGCACAGAGGAAGGGAGGAGGGAAGGGGAGGAAGGAGGTTGGGGGGGGAAAGGAGGGGGGTACCTTTGAGATGTGTCAAAGCCACTTTATGGCCTCAGGAGGGGAAGAGGAGCAGGATTCAGAAAAGTGAGCGTGAAGTTTTAGCGGCTAACTATGCACCTGCTTGTGTAAATGGAAGTGAACAAACAGAGAGTACAACTGCAACTTGTTCCTCAAGACACCACCCCCACCTCCAACCACTCCTGGTTCCTGAGTGTGCCACGGCCATTTTATGTGGCGTATCAAACGAAAAGCACAAACTCCCCCGCACTCCCACCCCCTCTCCCTCGTCCTCCTTCCCCCGTCCACCGCACCTCCTGGTTCCGCAGTGGGTTGAGGTTATCACAGAGCAGACCGGGGTTGAGGCGGTACAGCAAGCGCCAGGAGAGCGAGGGGTTGGCCTGCAAGATGCTGTCGCAGGTGTCGGTGGGGCCCACTGCATGGTACTGCGTGCACTGCTGGTACGCGCCTGCGCCTCCTCCGCCGCCGCCCGTCACACTGTTCCACTCAATGCACAGCTGCAGTCAGGGGTGGGGAAAGGTGGGGGTGGAGAAAGGAGGGTGCAGTGAGGTGGGTTCAGAAGGGAGGGTCCAGAGATGAGGGGATGGATAGAGTGGGAGCTGACCAAGCGGTCCAGGTGTGCTCTCATTCGCGTTGTGCTCTTATGCTTCCTTCACATCCCAACTACCGTCTCGTCCCTCCTCTTCCTCCCTTGCCACCTCTCCCCCTCGCCATCTCCCTCCCCCGCCATCTCCCTCCCTCACCATCTCTCCTCCTCACCATCTATCCTCCTCACCTCTCTCCTCCTCACCATCCCCCTCCTTCACCATCTCCCCCCATCATGACCCTCCCGCACCTGCTGTCCTGGTTGCAGGTTCGTGCAGTCCAATCCTGGGTTGAGGTCCGTGATTCGGATGCCGAACCTGTTGTTGATGTCATCACAGCTTCCTGTCAGGCTGTCCGCCTTAAGAGCAGGGCATAGGACCGTGATGGGAGGAGGAAATTGGGGAATTAGGAGAAATATTAAGGTGAGAAGGTGGAAGGTCGAGGAGGAGAGGAGAGGAGAGGGTGGGGGGGGAGATATGAAGGGGAGGAGAGGGGAGGGGAGAAGAGGTGAAGAGTTGAGGTGGTAAAGATGCAGTGGGACTGAAGCACTGGTGAAAAGAGCCCAATCTGTTAGTCGACTCAGAAATAATGTCTAGTGCAGGAAGAAGTACCTTGGAGACGGGGTATCGGGTGGTGCATGTGCCGGTGGTGTCTGGTGGAGTGAGGCGCAGGCGAGTGCCGGGCTTGAGAGGGTTGCACTCCACGCCCTGGTACCACCACCAGCACGAGCATGGCCGAAGGAGTGCGCACAGGCATAGGCAGACGCATATGTATTGGCATGGGCATGGGCACGGGTATGGGCATGGGCATGCACACCCTTCCAGGTGACATTTGAGTCAACTCGAAAGTCAGGCCACAGCACAGCACAGCACAGCACATCACCGCACGCACAGCACAGCAGAGCACTGACCGGGTTCTGGGAGGTGAACTGCGCCTCTGTGAGGCCGAAGAGCACGTAGATGGCATTGCACGTGTCGCCCTCCCGAGCCTCGTACTCCTGCCCGCTCCCACCCTGCCCGCCTCCCGCCTGCCCGGCCACCACTCCTGCTCGTTGTGGAAGGGAAGAGGGGGGAGAGTGTGGAAGAGAAGGAAATTGTGGGAGGGGGATGCTAGTTTGAGAGCGAGAGAGAAGGGAGGTGGGGAGAATCGGGGATAAGGTGGAGAGGGGAGTGGAAGCAGTACGAGAAATTCTGACAACACAAGGTAAAGATTGATGACCCATGTTATCTATTTGCAGGTGAGTAGACGTTGCTCGTATGCTGTCGCTCTGAAGCAGCACCTCCTGTCTTCCACTCTGTCAATCTGGTCAACTCCCTGATTGATGCACACCAGTTTAACCAGCCACACCCAAAACCGCCAACTCAGAGATTCATGCATGCATCAATACATGTCGCACATCCATACCATACCCGCTACACCCAAACGTGCAACCCAGAGAGGGACATACGAACATTCTTCCATCCATTCGTCCGTCCAGGGATGGCCTTACCCGGTACACAGGTGGGCTGGCCGCAGGCGAGCTGGCTGGAGGTGGAGTCTGGCGGGCACACGCAGGAGATTTCTCCCGAGCTCCCGTCCACACACTCTCCCACGCCACACGGGTTGCTCGCAAACAGCGAGCACTTGCTCCCTGCGTTGACAGGGAGAGGAGAGGTTGGGGGAAGGGGGAAGTTAGCTGCACTTGCCCTGTGTTGCAGGAGTGGGCGGGATGGTGAGTCACCGGGATGGGGATGGTGAGTCACCGGGATGGGGATGGTGAGTCACCGGGATGGCGTGGCAGCACTCGTGTCTCACCAACCCGAGTGCTGTGCTTGAAACGGTGCCCTCTCCCTTACACGAGTGGGCCTTGATTGAGTAGAGGCAGGGATCATACAGCACTCTAGGGAGGTGCGTACAATAAGTCATCTTAAAAACCACTCCCTCTTACTGATAATGCAGGTCTCAGAGCCGTCCTTATTCTCCCCCTTGAGCAGCCCCTTGGTGCTCGGGCAGTCACATGTGTATCGGCCCACCCCCGTCCTCGTGCACGTGCCACCCCCACACACCGCCAGCTTGCACGGATCCTGAATCAGGCTCGCTGCAGTGGAGGGGCGGGGGGGAGGGGGGGGGGGGGGGGGTGAGGAAGAGCAGAGGTTACGGAAGGAGAGGTGAGAAGATGGAGGAGGGGGAGGAGAGGGGTTGTGGTGGGCATGGGGGCAAGGAGCAGGGATGATGAAGGGAAGACAAGGAGGGACAAGCTACAGGTGGTACTACTTTCTGATGGGCATAGAGGAGAAGACGAGGTGAATGTGGGTGAAAGTTGGGTGAAGCGAAAGGAGCAAGCAGGCAGAGAACAAGAGAAACTCGAAAGTGAATGGCTTCAACAAGAATGTTGAGTCCATGAGCACAGACAAGGAAAAGCACACAACCCGTCCATGTGTCTGTTTTTCCATCTATCTCTCTTCTGCCATCCAGTGTGCCTGCCTTCCCGTCTGTCTGTCGGTCCGTCCCACCGTACCTTTAATGGTGGGGTACAGCCCGCGCTGGTATGTCATGCCGCACATGCCGCCGTACGCAGAGGTCATGGCGATGCGCATGTGGCCGCTCTCGCCCCACGTGCTGCCCCAGCTGTTGCGGATGATGAAGTAGTTCTCGTTGGAGGTGGCGGAGAGGAAGCGGAAGCCGACGACGAGCACCACGTGGTCCAGAACGGGGTTGCTCGGGGAAAAGCACGTGGCGTTGCTGTATATGCCCGCCTGGATGGGGTGGGACGGGGTGAATGTGGGATGGATGGGAGGTTGGGAGGGAGGGAGGAGGGAGGAGGGAGGAGAGGGGAGGGAGGAGGGAGGGGAGGGATGTATGAGAGAGGGAAGAGATCAGAGGCAGCAGCAGAGGCGGCAGCAGAGGCGGCAGCAGAGGTGGCAGCAGCAGCAGGGAGGCGAAGACGGAGCTTGAATGGACGTGAGGAGCAACTGCTGCATGTACCCATCTTGGCATTCCACGTGTTTGCATGTGACTCCATGGCCGCATGAGGGTGTGCATGCACCCAAGGCACATGCACACGCACACGCACGCGGCCCACGCGCGCACCTTGTAGGCGACGAAGTCAGGCGAGGAGGCGATGATGGAGACGACGACGGGCTGCTGTCGCACGGCCAGCATGAGCCCCAGCAACCCCTCCAGCGCCACCTGCTCGAAGTGCGACACTGCCGATGCCGCTTGCTGCGAGACGGGTGCGGAGGGGGATGAGGGGAGAGTGCGCAGATGAATGGCGTGTGGGTTGGGGAGCCGGTGAGACGGCTGGAGAGCGGAGGGTTCGGAGTGCTGTGCTTGCTCTGCGTGCTCTCTACGCCGGTTTCATGAGGCGTCTCAGATTCTCAGAAATGACGCCGCGTCACGGCTCACCTGGAGCCCTCCGCGGCAGGCACCCTTGTCCATGACATAGGGGTACTGCGAGGCGCGGCGGAGCAAGGAGGTGGAGCTGTACTGCAGCGCGTCCTCCGGGTACCCGCCCATGCACGTGCCCGGCGCGCAGTCCAGCAGCTGCTGCGCGGAGAGTGAGAGGCGCGCGGGCGTGGTTGCGGTGAAAATCGCCACCGCGGCTTCCACCGCTGCCGCCGCCGCGAACGCCCAGCACGCGGCTGGTGGGGGGTGGGAGCGGGGGCGTGCGGAAGGGGCGGGGAGAAAAGGGACGAGGGAGAGATGAGAGAGGAGGACCGGGGGGATGAAGGGGCAGCAAGAGGGGAACTCCCTGTTGATCCTGAAGCGGCATGAACCATTATGCAAAAACCCTCGTGCTTGCTCATCGCGGAGGAGGTTTAGGTCAAAAACTGCCTCCAAGGGGGTTTTCTGCGGAAAAGTTGCGGATATGTGACGAATTGTTTCCGAAAAGCTCCGAGTGAAAACCGCAACCTATGCCAAATTTTGGATCGAGCCGCGCATTTCTCGCATCAATTTCGCAACATCAGCTCTAGAAGTTTGCACATACTGCCCCCCTCGGCTCAGCCTCACCGCTCGCCGGCGCAGCACCACCACTCACCGCACGCGCCCTGGTCCTCAACAGGCGACAGCATTGCGACGTGCGACACGTTGTTCACGAGAGTCCACTGGGGGGCGCCCGTCGTCGCATCGAAGGATATCTGACAGGGAGGGTGTCACGGGGAGTGAGAAGGTGAGAGAGCGGCGGGAGAAAGATGAGCGCGACGGGGTGCGGGGAGGATAGTGGACATGAGCAGGGGAAGATGTGAGAGTGAGTATGGAGGAGGGGAGAGGCTAGAGTGGTGTACCTGAGATGTGGCGTAGCGGGAGGCAGGATTGAAGTCCGGCATCGATAGAAGCACATTCGTCTTCTGAGGAGGGGCGAGACCCAGGGCCTTGTCGCCTGGCGACGTCGGACAGGGGGGACGACATGGGTGAATGAGAGGTTGGTATCAGGTGAGGGGATCCAGCAGGTCGGATGAAAGGTGTGGATATAGAAGAAACGGACCTGAACGAGGTGGACATGAGGTGAGGGTCGAAAGACAAACATAAAGGCAGTACGAAACGCGGGTGATTGCTTGTGAGACGGCGGCAAGTGCGGAACAAGAGGAGCCTAGTGGCGCAGAGGAAGACACGGTGGAGCCGCATACACCGCTGACACCAAGCCGCCTGTACGGAAGCTCGCACGTGTGAGCTTGTGCGGGTGTGCGGGTTCGCAGAAGTTGTGGCGGATGCAAGAAGCAGGCGCGAAAGAGGGAGAGGCTGGGACTGCGGCAAAGCGGGAGCTACTACTGACTGCCGGCGATGGTCTCAACGAAGTAGCATTCGGCTTCGATGTGCTCTCTCACCACTAGTAGCGGTAGCAGCAGTAGTAGTACCTGCCATGGGAGGACCAGGAGGTGACACGTCGCCGCCGCCGGGGTAACCACCATCGCCGCTGCCCCCTGCTCCTCCATCGCCGCTACCCCATGCTCCTCCATCGCCGCTACCCCCTGCTCCTCCATCGCCGCTGCCCCCTGTTCCACCGTCTTGGTTATAGCCACCACCAGAATCAGTGTTGTTACTACTGGTGTTGTTAGTTCCGCTCCCATCACAACCGTTACCTCCGTTGGTACAGTCACCTCCTGAATCAGTGTTGTTATTTCTGGCCCAATCGCCTCCGTTAATGTCCCCGCCAGAATCAGTGCTGTTACTTCCGGTCCAAACGCCTCCGTTACTGTCCCCGCCAGAATCAGTGTTGTTAGTTCCGGTCCAAACGCCTCCGTTACTGTCCCCGCCAGAATCAGTGTTGTTAGTTCCGGTCCAAACGCCTCCGTTACTGTCCCCGCCAGAATCAGTGTTGTTAGTTCCGGTCCAAATGCCTCCGTTAATGTCCCCGCCAGAATCAGTGTTGTTACTTCCGGTACAATCACCTCCGTTAATGTCACCGCCAGAATCAGTGTTGTTATTTCCGGTCCATTCGCCTCCGCTACTGTCCTCGCCAGAATCAGTGTTGTTAGTTCCGGTCCAACTACCTCCGTTAATGTCACCGCCAGAATCAGTGTCATTATTTCCGGCCCAATCACCTCCGTCAATGTCACCGCCAGAATCAGTGTCATTGTTTCCGGCCCAATCGCCTCCGTTAATGTCACCGCCAGAATCAGTGTCATTATTTCCGGCCCAATCGCCTCTGGTAATGTCACCGCCAGAATCGGTGTCAGTATTTCCGGCCCAATCGCCTCCGTTAATGTCACCGCCAGAATCAGTGTCATTATTTCCGGCCCAATCGCCTCCGTTAATGTCACCGCCAGAATCAGTGTCATTATTTCCGGCCCAATCGCGTCCGTTTATGTCACCGCCAGAATCAGTGTCATTATTTCCGGCCCAATCGCCTCCGGTAATGTCACCGCCAGAATCGATGTCAGTATTTCCGGCCCAATCGCCTCCGTTAATGTCACCGCCAGAATCAGTGTCATTATTACCGGCCCAATCGCCTCCGTTAATGTCACCGCCAGAAACAGTGTCATTATTTCCGGCCCAATCGCCTCCGTTAATGCCACCGCCAGATTCAGTGTCACTCGATCCGCCCGTATCGTTAGAGTCGGTTTCATTGAATCCCTCTCCATCACCGCTAGTGTCGTTGCTGCTCCCAGCGTCACCGCCGCCGTCACCGACATCAGTGCCAGAATCACTGCCGCTTACGCCGGTTTCATTGCCGCTGTATATGTCGCTTCCGAGACGGCGGGAGGGAATCCGAGCGTTCACTGGGCGAAAGAGTGTGAAGGAGAGGGAGAAGTAGGAGGGAGAACATCATAATATTGGTTTTATACCGAAAAGGAAACTCGATGAGAGTTTCACTCCGAGCGGGGGAAGGAAGAGAATGAATGAGCTTCGAGAAGATTATCTCCACGATGAAGAGCGGTACAACAAAGTGGGATACTTGCATCAGGGTGAGAGAAAGTCCGTACTCGTGCGAAGGGGACGTATGGAGTTCGCCCGTCGCCGCCCAATTCGTGCAGAATCCACGTGGCAGTCGATGATTAGAACGACCGCTATCAGTATCGCGAGTAGTGCGTGAAGGACGTCCAGCAAGTGCTGGAAGCAATCAAGGCAGCAGGGCTCACATGCCGCGTGGGAGACTTGGGTAATGCGGCGCAGCGTTGCCTCGTCTTCATTGCGATCGATCCAGAGCAGGTGTACGGAACAAAAGGCGACCCTATAAAAGCGGCGCGAAATCAAGTACAGGGAACGTTTCGCGATCTGAACAGCAGAAATCTTTACTCACGGCATCAGCAGCTGACAGCTATCAGGAGACGATGCACTTGGCTTCAAGTCGCAGAAGTGAGGAGGCGATGCATTCCACTGTGTAATGGGCAGATGCTAAAGAATGCCGATTGGGGTGATCATTCGTCCAGTATCAGTGGCTGCTTCATATATTTGATGGATTTGTGTTGGAGTCCATGAGGATGGCTGGCGTAATGAGGTTGGCATGGCACGCCATTATTGGGGGTACACACAGATTCAAGTTTGTCTCGGTGCAGGGGCACACAAGCCTCGCGGTTCGCTGCCACAAATAATTGTTCAAATGTGCGCTGCGCCAAGCAGATTGAGAAACAAATCATGCCGACATTGCGTTAATCAGTACAAGAGTTAGCTACACATTCTCGGTGAAATTGTGTCACAAACATTCTGTAATTATCCTCGTTTTCTGAAAGGTGTTTTGCTCTTTGAGTTTTGCCTAACCATTTTGTCATGCTTAGGGTTGGGGGAAGGATTGGCGAAAGACGCCCTGTTTGTTTTCTAGGCGACCACATTTGGTATCGGCTCACACTGGGATTGGCCTCACAGTCCATTCTCTGGAAAAGCCTACTTGCAAACACGTTGCCCTAGTGCAGGCCCCCAGAAGTCAGAGTTTTTTTGTCTGATTTGCTTGTTTTAGTCTGAGATGAGTTCCGACTCAATGAATCTACCTGCGCGCCGACACCCAGGATTAGCTGTGGTACATACATTGTACCTGTACCGCCGCCTTGCGGCCCGATGTTTTCCTCGTACAGCTGGATGTTTCACCCGCCCTGCGGTGCGTTCTTTCCCTCAGTGTACGCTCCAGCTCACACCCTCCTTGCGCACTGATTGGTGCGTTTGGCATCTTTTGTACCACTCCTGTAAAAGATGCTGCAGCAGTTGCCACCCACGTAAACGTGATAGCAAGCAGACGGTCCTTTAGGCAGCATCGTGTACCACGATGCTGCAACATCCACACCACAGACTACAACGATGCGCCTCGTCGTTGCCGTGCATGGTAGGCAACCACCCACACAACTCAATGATGGCCCATCTTGGTAAAGGGCCTTCGTGTTTGTGCTAGGGTATCATCTGTTGGAAATCCGAATACAGTATAACGAATACTGTATACCAGTGTGCTGTTTGGTTTTAGTGTAGTCCTCTTTATAAGCTTCCAGGTCCTACAATAATTGTGACAATTATCGTAGGGCCACAATTATTGGAGCCTAGCATTATTGGAGGGTAGAGGGTACAATTATTGGTACACCATTATTGGTGTGAATGGGGTCATTCTGGAGGGGTAGCTGGATGCATATATACCCTGCTTGGTCACTTCTTCATCATCATTGAGTTATCATTGAGTCATCATTGTGTCATCATCCTACTTTTCAATGATAAATGCAAGATTTCTATCTTGTTCTTTTCTGCAAACACGTTTCCGCTACGCTGGCACTATGCCTTTCTAGCATCATCCACACCCCTCAGCTTCAACTCACGGGCCCAAGCCAGTGCCCAGTTTTGCCTCAGCCATCATCTCTCTAGTTCCTGCTCGGCAGGCTCTTTCACAGCCCCGCCATGGCGGTGCTGGACATTCCCGCCACAGGCGACGACAACCCTGATGAGCGGCCTGCCTTAACAGGCTTGGACTTCTTACTTAGTACACTAGATCTCGATAAGGCTGCACGCGCCACGCCCGATACGATTCCCATACAGAAAGCACCCGCGACTCCAGTTTTCTCACTTTCTGCCGACCATGTGGCAGAGACATCTGCGGAACCAACCGTCGATTCACAGTCGCAGATTCCGACTCAGACCACGGCGCGCACGATCCGTCTCAAGTAGGCGACCTTGACCTTCGGCAAACCTGCGTCGTCAACTGCCAACGTCAACAACGCTCCCGGAACATCTGACCGACCGCGACCTCGCCTCAACATCAATCTGGCCGAGCTCGTCGAGGGGGTTTACGACGAAGCGATTGACAAGTTCAAAAATCATTGGTCTTCCCGTTTTCCGTGGCTCAGGATCACTAAACCACTACCGGCTTGCCTGCGTTCAAGTGTACCGTTTGTGCAGCCTATGCTGGCGATTCAGGAAAGTGCGGGAGGCGCGGGAAAGGCGCCACCGACCTGCAGACACAGTTTTTCCGTAAACACGCTGGCACGGCGAAGCACAAGCTGGCGGTTGAGAGACACAAATCTGAAGAGGAGTGCGGTGGACGGCAGCCACAGATCGACCAACATCGCGCCGCGGTGGACAGTGAGAAGATGTGGACCGTCGCCCTTCTTGACTCGTCGCTGTTCATCAGCAGGTCCGACGTGCCCATGGGGATGTGGGTGAAACTGGTGCGGTACTTGTCGGAGAAGGGCGTGCAATGCTTCCCTAAGAGAGGGTACGGCACCTACTACACCACGTGAGTGCAACTGCCGTACGCCTCTTTATAAACACCCACGTTTTAATAATGTTCTAACTACTTTGTTACTGACTATTGGTTCCATGTGCAGATACGGCTTCAGTGAGCTAATGCAAGCTACAGCTACATGGCTCCAGACAACCCAGCTGCAACATGTGCTGTCGTCGCCCTTCGTTGGCATCTCGATTGACGAGAGCACGGATAGGTGCAGCGGGAAGCACATGATCCTGTTCATCACCTTCGTCCGTGACTTCAAGGTCGTCACGGAGTTCATGGCGCTTCTCACCGTGGAGAAGGCCGACGCCGCTTCTCTTCTGGGCGTCCTGCTATCACACCTGCTGGCAGTCGGGGTCGACCTGAAGCGCATTGCAAGCATCAGCACCGACGGCGCGAACGTCATGATGGGCTGCAAGGGTGGCCTCACGACACGCCTCCGCGTGCGCATCCCCCATTTGGTGTCATCCCACTGCATCGCACACAGGTATGCCTGTAGGTGCATAGGGTTTTTTTGAAGTTTTTTAACGGGTACAAGTGACTAATGTTTCCCTTTTTGTTTTTACAGGGAGGCACTGGCGGCTAAAACAGCCGCAGAGAAGATTCCCGCCTTCAACGTCATTGACACGGTGATCCGCACCGTGGCTGAGCATCTCGGTCGAAGTGGGCCATGGCATCAGCGGTTCATGGGGCTGCAGGAAGTCTTCACCTCCACCTCACTGGAGCTGCAAGGGATCCATGCAGTGCGTTGGCTTTCGCGGGGCGACGCAGTGCTCAGGCTCGTCGCCGTCCTTCCGGCTCTCATCGTGATGTTGAAGGAGTGGGACGCGACGCTCTATGCGCTGGTGATGAGCTACAGGTTTCATTTCCTCCTATTTTTCATTGCAAATGTGCTTGAGCAGCTGAACATACTCAACAGGGCCTTCCAGCACAAGGAGGTAAGCTCCGGTTTCTTGTTACTAGTTGTTAAGGGTTTGTGCTAATGCAAGATTTGTTTCTTCTAACCTTCAGTCACTAACCACCTTTCCACGCGTTTCTTTCCAGCTTGATTATGCCAGCGTGCATGCGCAGATCAAGCGTACAACATCCCACATCGAGAGCCGCTACGTCGACTGCGGAGACGACTTCAGTGGCGGTGTGAGCGAGCTGCTGTCCCCCTTCATCGCGCGCCATGGGCCTGGAGGAAACCGGGAGGTGAAGGTTGAAGGGATTGATTCGGACGGCTGACCAGCACGCTTCAAATTCGTGCTGCACGAGGACGAGCTGGAGGAGTTCGAAGGGCCCGGCACCCACGATGGCTGTGTGGAGGTTTGCACAGAGTTCGCCGAGGTGATCGTGCACCAACTGGAGCACCGGCTTGGCGACCTGAACGGGATGTCCGGCGCTAGGCTCTTCACCCCCGATGAGTACCCGCTGGAGCGTGGAGAGAGGAACCGCAGGTGCCTCGAGTGGCTTCAGTCGCTTGTCACGCTGTTCAAGGCCGACTTGACGGATGAGATCCTGCCAGGTCAGCCATTAAGCAGCTTGGTTTTAATATCAGGCTACCCCGATGCATTGTTTCTGTTGCACGTGATGCTTCAATGAATATTTGAATTTGGGTTCTGAGCTTGCTCCTCCTGTTATACTTCCTATCCCGTCAGGTATTGACAAGCGCCGCGCAGAGAAGGAGCTGCGCATGTTCACTTCGGTGCTTGCAGCATCTACCAAGGGCGAGTGCAGTTTTCACGCGGGTCTCACTGCCATGCTCAAGACTCCCGACTGGTGGGAGAACTACCCCAACTTGGTGCTCCTGTGGGTGGCGGTTGCTGTACTGCCGCTGAGCACCGTGGAGTGCGAGCAGGGGTTCTCCCGCCAGAACATCATTAAGTCGTGGAAGAGGGGCGCACTTAAGGATGCTCGCCTGGGGGACCTGATGTGCATGAGCTTAATGGATTACGCCCCCGACTAGGATGAGATTGTGACCGTCTGGAGGAGTTACAAGAAGCGCAAGCCCCAGAGCAACGCTCCACTTTCGCCTGCAGGAAAGCAACACAACAAGAAGGGCAGGGAGGCAGATGAAGAGATGGAAGTAGTTGACCTAGGAGATGAGCAGGATGCAGTTGACAGCGATGATGATGATGGATTTAATGAGTAGGAGTCTAGGAGAGGAGGATTAGTAGGATGTTGTAGTGCTAGGGTAGTTCTAGCTCTGGCTAAGCAAAGCAAGTAGCATTTTGTATGTAGGCTTTTGCAATGTACGTTACATAGTTCAAACAAGACCAAGAGTTCAGCAAGACAGCTAGAAAGACAACCAGACTTGTTGTAGGCGGTGATTCTGAATCTTTCAGACTTTTATTTTAGTACACTCTGAACTTTCAGCCTTTTTTTTTTTTCAACTCTGTCAGATTCAGACTACAACTTTGTGAGAGTCTGACGAATCAGACAGGCTAAAATCGAATCTGAGGGCCTGCCCTAGTGCCTGTGTGTAAGGAAAACCCATTCTCCTTACTGGGGCTTACTCTTCCGCATACAACCCCTACTTTTGGAGGTGCATGTTCGACCGGATTGCTTGCTGCCAAAGCACCCTCACGCCGCTTTCGGCTTTCCTTTGCCATGTTAGGCTAAGAAAAGCCCTTAGGATCTTTTCAAGGCTAAACTCTGAGTAGAAGTGTTGTATTTGCGGAAGCGTTTTAAGAACAAGTGTTGAACCACCTTGCGCTAGTATGCGAGGGCAAGATAGATTGATTAAAGCAAGAAGATACAAGGTTTTGTAAGAGTACAAGGAATATGAAAAGATACAGCTAATAACCGTTTTACTGTTTGCTGTTGCGGTTCGATACATACGACTCAGGCAGCTGCTCAATAACGAGTCAGTTGTTTGTCCTTGCTGTCTCGCTGTACTTGTCAAGTCAAAGGTCGCTGACCTTTGACCTTCGCGTAACCTCCAGCAGTTGCTATTCTTCTCAACCTCCGATGATTGACTCGCCGTTGTTCCTCTGTAGTTCGCCTCGTTTGTGTTTCCAACACTCCCCTTCGCTTCTGGAGTGTCGTTGCTGGTGACGTGGCCTTGTCCATTCAGCAGCATGCAGTACTCAAACTTCTGCTTTCCGAGCTTAATGGTCAAATAATCAGCTGCCATCTCGGACGTGGGGCATTAGGATAGTTCGAGTCTCCCCTTCTCGATCTCGTCTTTCACGAAAAAGTATCGCAGGGCGATATGCTTCGTCCGGTTCGCGAATCCGTTCTTGTTCGCTATGCGAATTGCAGATTGGTTGTCGCAGAACAGAGAGAAGTTGGGTAACTGGGCCAACTTCGCGTCTTCCAGCAGTTCGCAAAGGTACAGTCCTTCCTTGGTGGCTGAGCAAAGTGCAATATATTCTGCTTTGGCTGAGGAGAGGGTGATTAATTCCTGTTTGCTTGATTGCCACGAGATAGGCCCGATAGGTTCAAGTCGGTAGATGTAGCCGGTGCGTGAGCGCTTGTTGTCGGAGTCGCTGGCGTGGTCAGCATCCACGTACCCGATTAGCTTGGGTGTTGTGGTTCCATTTTTGTGGTAGGTCAGGCCAGCGCTGAAGAGGTAGTGGAGTGCGCGGTCGAGCTCCACCATGTGCTCTGCTTCAGGTTTCTTGAGGTAGGTAGTGAGCTGGCTTGCTGAATACGACAGGTCTGGTCGGCAGGTGACGGCTGCGAATAGCAGGCATCCTAGCTTTTGCTGGTAGTCGCGCATGCCGGCGGGCTTAAGTGAAGCGGAGGTCCCTTCATGAGTTGCGGAGGCGTAGCGGTACGGTGTGGAGATAACAGTTGGAGCTAATCCAAAGTGTTTGGCGATGGTGTCGGCGTATTTTGCGGCGCTGAGGTGGATCGTGTTCTCGCCGTCCTGTATGTTGAGTCCTAGGTACTGCATCACTGTTGATGAGACGGTAAGGGTTAAGTCCCGCTTCAGCTCTCCTTCTAACCAGGTTGTGACGCCGTAGGTCGAGCCGATGTAGAGTAGATCGTCCACGTAGACGATGAGCAGGATGTAGTCGGCTCCTTTTGTGAGGCGGTACATCCCTTGATCATGCGGCAGTTGCCGGAATCCGATACGGATTAGCCGGGCGTGTAGGTACTGTAGCCACAGTATCGGGGCCTGTTTGATGCCGTACAGGGACTTCAGTAGCTGATAGACTTGGTTGGGGTCTGCGTTGGAGCCGTGCGGTTGCTCGACAAAGATCTCAGCGTCGACGGGCGCGTAGAGAAAGGTGTTGGCGACGTTGATTTGACGAAGTTTCTTCCGCTTCATGGCCGCTATTGTGAGGAGAATCCGCAGTGAGGTGTGTCGACTGACCGGAGCGAATGTTTTGGTGAAGTCTCGTCCGTGCTCTTGATTGAAGCCACGTACGACCCAGCGCGCCTTAAATTTGTCGATGGTTCTGTCTGCCTTTGTTTTCACGCGAAAAACCCATTTTCCGGTGAGAATGGTCTTGTTCCGTGCCACCCCGATAGATACGACCTTCCATGTGTTGCGTTCTTCAAGCGCTTTTAACTCCCTGTCCATGGCTTTGCGCCATTTTTCCCTGTGTTCCTCCCCCAGAGCCTGCTGAACTGTGGCAGGCTCCTTAGGTGGCGCCGTGCCATGGACTGCGGTGACGAGTCCGAGTATCTGGAGTCCACTCCGTGTGTAGCGAGGGAGAGTTGTGTCCTCAGAATAGGCTGCTTCGTCTCCCGCTTCTGGATCAGGTATGAAATTAGGTCATACGCGTTCTGCTTTGTCAGTGTTGACTTGCACGGGCGTAACGTAACCGTTGTCGGCGAAGTGATGGTAGGTTTCGGCGTTGATGCTGTCGCGAGGGTTTTCGTCGTCCATCGGAACGTCGACCGAACAGTAGGGAAGAGGTCCGGCGTCTTTCAAGGCTCCATCCACATTCTGCTCGTCCCAGTCAGCTTCATCCGCTGCCGAAGCGAAGGCTCAGTCACCGTGAAAGCCACCTGTGGGGTCTCGATCTTCTTCCAGGTTGGCAAGGTATGTCGGAAGCGTGAGTCGCTCGTAGAAGATGACATCACGTGCTGCCACTGTTTCCTTCGTGTTGATGTCGAAAATCTTCCATGCGTTGTAATGTTTCTCGATGCCCAGTTGTAGCCCCCACTGTGCGCGTTGGGAGAAGCGACCTGCTCGTGCAGCTGGGGGTCGGTACTGTACTATGCAGCCGAATACTCGTAACATTTTTGTGCTGCCCAATTTTCCTATCCACAGCAGGTGCGGTGATGCGTTGTTCGGGAGAGATGATGACGAAAGCAAGTTATGCAGTATGACAGCGTGGTCCATTGCCTCGGGCCACTGGTGGTTGGGTAGCCGCATGCCATGCAACATTTTGCGCATGGTGTTCTGAAGAGTCCTGTTCATTCTTTCTGCCACGCCTTGCTGTTGATGGGCATAGGGAAGGGAGATGAGCCTTTTGATGCCCCTTTCCGCCAGGTAGTCCTTGAACTTCTGTGACTGATATTCCCCTCCCCCGTCTGACTGGAAGCTTTTGAGCTTCACTCCTGATTCTCGTTCTGCTGCTGGAAGCCAAGCGGCGAAAGCGTCGAGGGCCATGTCGCGACTCGGGAGGTTGAAGTGCCAAACGTAACGTGTGGCGGCGTCAATGAACGTGATGACGTAGTTATAGGCTTCTTGCCCGGGTTCGCGATTGTACAGTATGTCGCTGTACACCTTCTCCAGTGGTGCGTACGCTGGTGCGCTCAGTTTGTGGCGAGAGACGAATGGCTGATGCGGTAAGTCGGCTTCGGGGCAGGTAAAACACGTTTTGCGGACTCGTTGAAGTTCTCTGCCGTCAGGTAGAAGTAGTGAATCTTTGTCAAGGACGCCTGCTCGGATTGTGTTATTTAACGTTGTGTTGCTCGGGTGTCCCATTCTTGCGTGCCAGATCTCTTCGCCAGCGCGATGCCCGGGTGAGCGCCGGAGTTTGAGTTGGAGTAAAAATCGGCGGTGAAGTTGGCGCTTCTGTGGACTTCTCGTGGGGTGGGAGCCAGCTGTTGCGCAGGAGTCGGTGGCGTGCCGTCGATAAAGACCGGTGCTGTTGAAGGACCAGCGATTGATGCCTGTGTTGTCTCTGCTGTTGCCGGTGGTGTTACTACTGCTGCCGATGTTGTCTCTGCTGTTGCCGATGTTGTCTCTGCTGCTGCTGATGTTGTCTCTGCTGTTGCCGATGTTGTCTCTGCTGCTCCCAATGTTGTCTCTGTTGCTGCGGGTTGCTGTATTGTTGCTA